CAGTAGTACACGTGTTGTAATCTTTTATTTCAAATTTTGGAACACCGTATAACGTGTAAATATACTGAATGAAATAGTTTGATTAGAAGATAAGAAAAATGAAACTGTTAATACGTACGTACTATTAAAATTGTAAATGTTATGTATTCTGTTATAAATCATGTGCGCAAATTATCGATGTATATAAGATGGTATACATAATGTGTGTATATGTATAGACTTTATAAAACTTGTAACAAAGGTATATATATTGGGAAATGTTATACTTTACAGCACTTTTTTGCTTTTATTCATCTCCTTCATGAGAATAATTTATGTTACAGTAATGATAATTTTTAATGTCAATATCATATTAATCAATCTCTCTTCTCACATTTATATTATCTTTATATCTTATTTTCTAAAATCTATTGTTACAACTATATATTTTGAATTTTTTTTCTATTATAATAATCGCGCGCGTGAGCATTAAGTAGCGTATTATACAAGGATGCAGTAGAGTTTAATTTATCCGGTCCTGGTAACGCTTGCAACGTACGGTCGCAACTTGGTTTTTCTCATCACATTTAAAGAGATACTCTTGCGTTCCGAATATTTAAAAGTTGGATACACAATACACAAATATACAGAAGGAGCAGGTATTTGAAAGCTGCAAACATTGGTCTAGATACTATACGAAACATCATTTTCGATATCATTAACGAAAAATTATCATTTTGCGAATATATGTCAATTTCAACTTATATATAATTCTCTTTACATAAACATTTATAGCAGGTTAATCTGTTTACGTAACATGTGCATACAAGTATTCTCATAATAAAGAAAAATAGAAATTCTTTCAAAATTTGCTTTTTGCATAGACTATTTTCAAAGTACGATAACATTTCTAGTGAAGAAAAGCTTTCATGTTTTTGTTTCACGAAAATAGCAAATATATTCAAAATACTTCTACAGACATTTTATGGAAAAAAAGAAAAAAAACAGCCTTCAAATTCAACCTATTTTATAATAGTTTAACCAATTAAATGTCCAAACATGTCATTTCCATAGATGTCTTTGAATGTTCCAATAATTACATTACATAACATCATTACATACATACGCATACGCATACGCATACACACACACACACACACACACGAACACACATCGCACTCGTCCATGCATGCATTCATGCGTGTGCGCGTTGGTGTGTGCGCGCGCGTGTGCATGTATTCGAACACGTGTTTTTCACTTGCAATGTACAAGAAAATAATACATCTGTCATAAGTTGCACGTAACGTAACGTATATATATCAAGGTGCAATATGTTTGCAGAAATCTGATTAATCATAGTTTATAAATCGTAGATTCAACTAATTCGACTTAATGATATCTATGGTAAAATAAAATGAAGGATAATTACTACGTCACGCCAAGAAATTACATTAAATATAAATATGTATATATCATATATATGTACTTTTTGTCCTATCTATATTCAATATATTAGGTTGATTCATAAATAAATTCTGCTGCAAATATCAATTTATCTTTTCTGAGAAAAATTGATCCCAAGTTACTACGTGTATTTAATAATTTTTTAATTTATTTGATAGTAAAAGGTCCCTCGGTTGTAAATCAGAATATTACTATAATTGTATACATCAGCTTGTAAAATCGTGAAAGTGAACTCTTAAAATGGAAGATCTGAAAGTACATACGCACCACATGACGTTTTTAACAAATTCAAACAACGGTGCTGCTGTAACGACTCAAAAATTTGTAGTATATATGTATTGTGAAAGTGTCATAATACAGATCGAGCAGTGCGAAAGTGATGTATGAAATTTCGTTCGGGAGATATCACTTTGAAGGATAAATCATGGACTGATTCCGAATCAAAGCAGTCATTCCGGCTTTTCATGACTATACTTTACAGTTATTGATGGAACAAAATCCATATTACACAACGAGAAAGCAGAGATGATAAACAAATCGTAGCCCACTGCGGTGCATCATTTAGAAAAACTTGATAAAAGAAAACGCGGAACTCATTTATGAATCAACACAATATATGTATATGCGAAATATTACAAAGATGAATATACAGAAAACCAATGTGATTTCAAGAGAGCTTGAAGTATCGGATGATAAATGTACTGATTTACTGAAATGGTAAGATACATTTTTTGATACGTATCTGAAAAAAGAACAAGAATACGTGGAATCACTTTTTAAGTTTCTAAATTTAAAAATAAAATAAAATGCAGAGGCGAAACAAAAGACCAAAGGAACATATAAATAACATTATAGACACGTATTTTTGCAAAGACAAAGTTTCAAAGTCTCAAATTACCAAGTTGTTGTCTATTTATACTACGTCGTACCAGAAAAATAAAATTATCAAATTACAATAAAGGCCGTTCTCACACTCGTTTTTACATACACAGCATACATATGCATATATATATATATATATATATATATATATATATAATATACACACACACACACACACACACACACACACACATCTGTTAAGTATAATTTTTTCCGCATAATCTACGACTAATTCGAATCTTGGGACAAGAGAATAAATTTAATTTAAATGAAACCCTCTTTCTCGGGTAGCAGCCAACAGCCTTTCTCTTAGGATTTCCTCAGTAGGATATTCCGGTAATTTTAAGTAATGAACACAAGTGTTAACAGAAGGATAACCACCAGAACCAGCGTCCACTTTCCGCACAACAGTTAATCTGGGGTGTAGATTACATAAACCTCCTGGAGGTAGAGCCGAACAACCAGTGGCAAATTGTAAGAACGCTTTCCTTTCAGAACCAGTTAACGATAACAACACGTTGACAAATCTTTGGAAACCAGGACTGAAAAAAAAAATTGCATTAAATGAAATAACGTAGGGTTAATGCTATTTTTCTATTGCGAGTCGTTTAAATCTACGTCTAGTTTATTATAAAAATACAAATTTGTTACCAAAATATATCCGTTCGTAATACCGTCTTACCTTTCCTTTGTGTATCCTAGCTTTGGCTCGGTGTACGTGAGCAAATCTTCTCTCGTCCATTGTGGATTCTGTTCTCCACAAAGCATCGCTCTCATTTCGTCTGGACTAAAAACATGGAGCTTTTCCATCGGAAAGACTTTTGAAAAGCCCGATTTGAACGCTTCGAGTTGTCTATAAATTCCCTGGTTAAGGCAGTAATTGATGGTAAGATTCGCGTATTCCCTTGCATTTTCTATCGTTACTACGATATCCGAGCCACCTTCCACCAATTCCACTTGATCATGTTGAAAAACTTTCGAACTTGGTGAATGCGTCATGGTTAATGCTAAATCTTCGATAGCCACCGAAGTACCCGATGGATGAGTAATGTATAATGACGTTTCTTCGTCAGCGGAGCTTGGACCATCGGAAAAAGTTCTATCGCGCTTCGCCATCGCATTTTGTATCTCTCTTAGAAATTCTCCTCTTACAGGATCCACCTCGACGAGATCCTCTATGTCTAATAATCCGGCGTACCATGGACAAGGCTCTAACGAAGAGCATGCAGCATCGTTTTCCCCTTCTTCCGATATAAAGCTACTCGACATGCTGGATGACATGCTCTCCTGCGTGACGCCGGTAAGACCGATTTTTTCATTGACATTGTTCGAGATATCACCACGGCACATTAATTTTAAGAATGGACGGGATAACGGTAAATCTACTAATCTATTATCCTGGAGAACTTTTGCCAAAAAGACTCCTAGGAACCAGAAATATCGAACAGCGCGATCGCAGCCTGCCGAATCTTGTGGCAATGGGGCTGGGAACAAGCCGCTGGTACGCGTTACGTAATATCCCGCAGGCCGAATCTTCTCTCCAGAAACGCACGTTTGCTCTTCGTTTAAGATCCGCGTAGCCGTGTCGTCGGCGGTGTCGTCGCATAACCAGAGGCCCAGGTCCTTACGTTGCAATTCCGCAGCGACTAGTGCAAAGAATTCCAAGGTAGGTCCGAGACCGGTACCCTCTTCTCCTACGAACGCTACCTCGAGTATGCTCTTGCGGTTTGCGTGCACCTACGAGGAAAAAAAAAGGAAGACGAGATAAAAATAAAATATAGAGATAAATATACGTTGACGCTTGGTATCCTGCTCACGCTGTTGCGTCCGTGCAACGTAACATGCACGTTTTTTTCAATCTCTTTTTCCTTTACCTTCAACACCTGCTCCGCCCAATCCAACAGCTTCTCTCCTCTCGGCACGCTGACTCTTTCGTGCTTAAGCCTGCCGACACGAAATTCGTGGCTATCGTCACGCCGTGGACTTAGACCCGGTGCCCTTTGTCTTTCAAGGATCGCGTCTCGCTGCGTTTGCAACCATACGATAGATCGCGAAGCACCAAAAGCGGTGCAACTGAAATAAAGTCGTCTCGTTTCGAAAGGTAGGAGAAACGGACAGCTTCGCGCGAGCTCCTCGCACCACGTGGGCAGTGCACCAGCGGCCAGAGCCAACGGGTCCTGAATCTGTTGTACGATCTTGTTGGTGATTTTTTTAGATGTGAAATCATCCGGGTGAAGCCAGTAGGTCGTATCGTTCGCGTCGT